CAGTAAGTGAGAAACCCAGGGCTGCCCGGGCTGTTCCGACCAGAGCAGCGAGCCTGTAGGACAGATTAGAACTGCCCCAGTGGGTTTCCTAGGCTGTAAATCTTGCTGGAAGAGACAACCACATCTTTCTCCCACGGGTGGTTTTGAACTGCCAACCCTCCGGTTAACAGCTACGTGTTTAACCAGTACGCCACCAGGGATGCTGAGAAGAGGGCATCAGGCCAGGAAAGGCGGCCTCCTGTTGGGCGTGTTGTGGTTGAGAAGTGCCCTCAAGCCTGTTCCAAATCGTAGCAACCCAGGGGACAACCGAAGGAGACGCTGCCTGGCCCTGTGTCACCCTCACCACTGTCCCTATTCCTGAGCCCACCGTGGAAGCCATGTGTCCATCCATCTCCCGGAGGGCCTTCCTCTTCTCCTCTGTCCTTCCACTTTCCTAAGCAGGATGTCCTTCACCAGGGGCCGGTCTCCCCTGACAACATGTCCAAAGGACGTGAGACAAGGAAGTCTAACCACTCTTGCCGCTGAGAAGCGCTCTGGCTATACTTCTTCAAGACAGATTTGCTTGTTCCTAAGGTCAAGGATTCCCTACCAGCCCAATGGCAGGGAGCAGCAACAGATCAGATCAGCAGGTCAGAGCTGCCTCCCTCCCTAGGTACCAGGTATCAGCTCAGGGCTCCACTTGGAGCACACAGGGTGGGGTTCCGACCCTCACAAACCTTCACACAATCCCAGGCCCACACACTGGCAGAAGCCCTGGAAGTGGCCACATACGTATCCTGCCGTCTCATGAGTGCCCCTGCTTGGACAGGGAAGCATATGGTCACCCCTACTGGCCCCTTCAGCCCAACGGTCTGAGTCCAGCAAGCTGTGTGATTTTGGGCCAACCTTACCTCTCTGTGCTCCAGACTCCTTAGCACCTTAACAGAAGCATGAAGGGACTGACTTCCTGGGTTCCAGTGGGTTCAACAGGAAGATGCATGTGAGACCCTCCTGCTCTCGGCCATCCTGGGGGCCCAGCTGGGGACCTCGGAGGGCGAGGGGTGCTGGACGACTCCACTAAAAATTTAAAAAAAAAATCTCACTGCCATCAAGTCGAGGCTGACTCACAGTGGCCCTACAGGACAGGGTAGGACTGCCCCTGTGGGTTTCTGAGGCTTTAAGGGAGTAGAAAGTCTTGTTCTTCTCCCTGGGAGCAGCTGGTGGTCTCAAACTGCCAACTGTATGGCGAGCAGCCCGGTGTGCAAGCACTATGCCGCCCGGGCTCCACCACCGACAATAAAACTTCACTGACTCCCAGAATCACCCTGAAGCCAGAAGAGACGGGCTACACAGGGTTTTCAGAAATAGACCACCAGGCCTTTCTTCTGATGGATGCGGAGCACGTGAACTGTTTGCACTCCACCTGCCAATCAGCAATTCCCATCTGCCTCCTGAGAAAGGGCAGGGCGTCCTGTGGCTTGATGCTCTTGATGCTCGGTGGGTAGGGGATCTTGGGGGGGAGGGGGGATGCTGACCCCCCTGAGCTTCCATTGCCAGCCTTGGGGCATGATGGGAGCATGCCCTTTGGAGGCTGGGCTTCCACCACACCCAGAGCCTGTGTGCTTTGTTGTTCCCTGTCGAGGTCAGAGGCCAGCAGCATACACCCACTCAGCTCAGTGGGGACCAAGTGTCTGGGCGCCAGCCCAAGCCACCACCTCCTCTCAGACCAGGCTCCATCTCCGCCGGGGCGGCAGGAAGGAAGGGGATGAAAGGAAGAACAGAGGATTCGGACTGCCAAATGCCAAGCCTTACTCTTCAAAAGACCCCATTTCAACAACAACAAAAAAAAAACCTAGTAAAAGACTCCATTTGGAAGAAGAGAAGGCCAGGCACAAACTTGGAAGACGCCGTTTGCAGGGCCAGACATCCGACGAGGGACAGTCCAGTGGGCTGGTCAGGACGTATTGCTAACAAGGCCACAGGCACCTTGATTCCAGAGACGTCTTAGACGGTGAAATCATGGCTTCTCTACACAGCCTCCATCACGGTTCCTGCACGCCTGCAGACGTCTTTCCGCTCTCGAACCCTCTTCCAATGATGTCTGCCCTCTCGGATGGACACCACCTCAGCCCAGCAGGGTGGGCACCCTCCAGGGTCGCCAATCCAGTTCATTGTTCACGAGCTGTGTGTGTGTAGTGGTGGGGGGGGGGCACAAAAAGAAGCCTACAGAGGGAGGATCAGGGCTGCCGAGTGGACGCGGGGCAGGTTCCCGGTGAAATGCTCCCCGTTCCTCCCTGGCTGCCCCGGAAGAATGAGCGGGTCCCTTGTTGTGGTGGTAAACAAGCCCTGGGCGCAACTGACCTGCAGTTTGCAATGTTTGAAGACACGCGTCCATGATAAGCTCCCTGAGCGTCCCGTGTCCTCTGACCACGTCTTCCAGGATGACCGACTCCTTTGGGATTTCCGAAAGCAGCTGCTATCTCACCTTCCAAGCTGACCTCCCTGCCTGGAAGTTGGCTGGCCTGGCAGGCCCACTGTTTGCATTGGACCTGCTTCTGTTTTGTTTTGTTTTTTGAAGGCATCCTTTGGAGACTAGGACAGGCTTAGAACACAGAGAACTTGTCCGCCGCCCAGCCATCGGCTGATCGCAGAGACGGGTTTAAGCATGTTCCGTCTGCAGGGGGTATGGCCTAAACGGGACCCCCGGCAGCAGTGCTTTGGGACTCATCCTCATTTCCAGGAACACAAGTCTCTAGCCTCCAGACCGCTCCAGATTCGACATGGGAAAGCAAACGCTATTCAACGAGACAAAGTCTCGCGCTCCTTGCCTCCACAGACCATTCTGGGTGCACTTTCAAGGTGGGTTTGTTCTCTCTGGGCAGTTCATCTGCCTTTCCATATTCTTCTCCAGCATCACCAGTCAAATGCACTGATGCGTCCTTGGTCTTCCTTATGCAGTGGCCAACGTTCACCAGCACGGGAGGAAACAAACCCGTGGACAGAGAGTGGCCATCACTCACTCTGAAGACGAACCCTCCCCGGCTGCTGCCGAGTCAGTGCCTGGTTTGTGAAAAGACCCCAAACACAGGAGAACACAATGCTTCCCGGTCCTGCCCCCCACCCCCCCACCCCCCATGGGCTGTGAACTGGACCCTGACCAACCATGGGGTTAACATTATTTGGAGAAACAGCGAAACAGCTCACCAGACCGTTCTTCCTAGGCTTAGTCTGGATGCTCCCCCTGCATGCAACCTGTTCAGCATCACAACCACACACATGCCTTCACTGGCAGACAGGTGGTGCCTAGGTCAGGCTTCAACCCCATGGGAAGGTGGAATCCCACACAGAAGCAGCCGTCACACCGAGCCGACTGGCCGACAGCAAAAAGGGCAGCAGCGCGGCAGCATGTGCTGGTGGGAGCAGAGGCACTGAATCATCCCCCTCCCCAACAGGCACCATGCAGAATGGGGCAGCCGCGCGCGGCAAAGCAGCTTGGCGGTTTCTTTAAAAGGTGCACGCGCTGCCGCCCAGGCGCTCTCGGGGGTGTTTCCCCAACAAAGGGAAACAGGTTCACAGAGGAATCAACCCCAGGATGCTTGCACCTGCTTCCTCCACCACGGCCCCCGCTGGACACAGGCCCCCACTGGACACAGGGCCCCACCATTCACCAGCTGAGCAGCACCTTCGGCCCACCCACGGAGCCCTGCCCGGCAACAAACAGAATCCCAGAGTGGAACACAGGACTGGCTGGAAGAGTCTCCAGGGAATTCTACCGAGTGGGAGGAAGAACATCTAAACGTTACAGCTTGTACGGTCCATGCTCGCCTGTTGCTGTCAAGTGCAGCCCTGGTAGCACTGGGCTGCTCAC